TATAATATATATATATATATAATATATATATATATATATATATATATATACATATATATATGTATACATATATATATATATATATATATATATAATATATATATATATAATATATATATATATAATATATATACATATATATGTATATATAATATATATATATATATATATATATATATATATATATATATATAATATATATATATATATGCTAGATTACTAGAATACTAATTACAGAATACAACTTATTTAAACCATGGTATAAATGATGACAACATATAATTCTAGTACACTGTTGGTTTCTGAAATATGCACTGTCAAAATTTACATAAATCTAAAATGATAGATGTAAACCTCAATCCAATATACTCTACCAAGCAAAGGTATTTCTGTATGGTGTGTGTGACTAATGTGTGCAAGAATGATCTTAGAAAGACCAGAATGTATGAACATCCCTAAAGAACAGTTGATGCCATTTTATCTCTTATTTGCTTTGTTTTTACTGTTTCCCCTGAAAGAGACTATTTTTCTGACAAAATGTAAACTCTAAGTACACCCAAACTTTGCTTTGCAGAAACTATTGCCTACAGAACTGCCTTGCTTATAACTTGTAATATCAGGTTTGTGACAGGCATCAGACGGCAGAGGGCTGCAACTGACATGAAAATATTTATCAATCAATATTGCATGATAGTAAGCCCAGGGAAAGATGGACCAGGAGTCAGGGGGATGGCAAAAATAATAGGAAGAAACTATTGCTATCCTCAAATGTATGCACTAGCTCAACGATACTATTAGAATTATAGCTAGATAATATGAATAACACTACAAAGGTTTATTATTGTCAAAACTTATTGAGTAAAATTATTTAATCACTTCTTTGTATCCCCAATATCTAATTTGGAATCATTCTCTATAATCTCTTATTATCTATTATTTCATTGCTGATAAAAAACTGGTATAGAATTATTCATCTTTAAACTGTGAGATTATTCTCAGTGGCCAGCAAAACCTCACCTTGTTCAAGGCCAGTGCTGCCATAATGACCTGTTTATTGTCATGGTGTTAAAGGCTTCTCTTTGCCTTTCCAGATGTAAAGCCTATACAATATTTTTGAAGGACTTTAATATCCATCCGTTATTCATCATATATATGAGCTGAAGAAAGACCGGTAGATGTCAGTTACTGTGTAAAACATTTATCTTTCTATATTCTTAAACTTTGGGTACAAATTGTCTTAATTTCATCTACATCTAACTGTCTATAAAGGTTTGTCTACATATCATATCACCTATTCTCTTTTCAACAAATAGAAAATTGAATAAATATGAGTAATATTATTACAAAACAAAATATATATATTTTTTTAACAACTGACTATAACTTTTATGAACAATATCTGAAGAAGCATTGTTAAAATGATAAATATCTTCGCCAAATGGTAAACATTGATAAGAATAAGGAAAAGTATAAACAGTAAACTGACTGAATCTTTTATTTATCCCAAAGCAATTATGATCACAGCATATACTGTGTATGATTGCCTAGCTTTAAGCCATTTCTAAAAACAAAAGGATACATACAAATCTCTGTAACAACATGAAAAAATCTTGATATAACAAAGTAACAATACGTGGTACTTGTGTGTACTCTGATATGTTCTTTCAAAGAATCATGAAAAAAAAACAATAACATTCCTTTGCATAATCTATCATCATCAGTAGAATTCACTCACTTTTGAAACAGCTCATTCATTCTGTTTCTAACAAAAAACAAAAAAAGAGAAAACCTTGCTTATACTACTTGCAATTAATACAGCTTTCACTATTCAGCATATTTTCAACTAAGAAATAGTTAAAACACAATTGCCAGATTCATCATTCTTAGAATCAAATATTATCAAGTACATAACCTGATAATGCTAATAAAAATACATGCCCTGTATCATGTACTAAAAGCTTTTTAAAAGAAATTATATAAAATAGGCTGCATACGTCATT